GAAAACCTACTTATTTACGAACAAGTAATGTTGTCGATTGCTGTAGCAAATGTAAGTTTGCTTCATCGACAAGCCCAACACAGAATGTGATATGGAAAATGTCTGACATCAATTGAAATACACATTTGCCCTGTGACCCAAGGGCACTCGTGGCAATGTGGCCGGGTGGTAAATACGTCGAGATTACACGCTGCACTGTCATGCTTCGAATCCCACTTGAAGTGTTGATATGACCTGCGAGAGGCCGAAACTGCAGTCCACTTCTGTCTGGATGAGAACACCCTTTGCGAAAGCAAGGCTATGTCAAATTCAATTTAAACGTCAGCTCTACTCATATCGTTTTAAGAAAAATCAACTGCCAATCCTTCATCACCTTAAACGAAATAGCGTGAACACAACTCATATAAGGACTGTTCATCAACGAGTTCACTGGGCCACAAAGGCCCAATACGGGGCTGAAGCCTTGGAGGTGGTGAGCTGAAGGAGGTGTTCAAGAGGTGCTCCAGAAGCAACTGAAGGGACGGCCATGCAATAACCAAGTTGAGATTAGAACACCTTTAACAGCCATCAAAACCATGCTAGCTGCAAAACACTGGTTGCTAAAAGATTAGTTATGTATCGAAGTGTAGGAATTGAAAATGATCTGTCGTTTAGCAAAATTTTGTTGGGCCTAGTTGGGTTGTGAAATAACAATTTGTCTCTTAATCTGAACGTTCACAGTTCCCAGGCCGAAACGATTGGCACATAGTTACAACCAGACAATCTTGTTCTGAGCCCAAACTCGGCTTGGACCACTTAAGCACGTTGAGACCTGTTGAAATGCAAAACAACTCATCCAAATGGGATTCCATGAGGAGAAAATCTACCGTAGACCCTTCCAATACACTTGGTGGTACTCAAATCGGACTCGTGTCTCGTTCCCCCTAGTTTGAGTTCGCTATGATCCATTTGCATAAAAAAGTGGTTTCTTAAAGGTGTCTTATGCAATAATCGTTTTATCAAACGACTGCAAAGAAAGGAGACCCCAAGCATAATTATGGCTAAACCATAATGATATCCACATCTGTGATTGATACACTATTGCATCGGCAAACTTTGCTGTGTCGAGCATAATCTTTGATTACTACAAAATTGTTTCACTCAACCATAAACTGCCCCATCTGATGCGTATGCTACTCATCTGTCGCCTCTAAGTTCCCATTATTTTCTTCCGATTAACTTGATGGCGAATAGAAACAGCTTAGATGAGGTATATATATAAATATATATGTATGATAGTTAACATAATTTTATTATATTATTTACTGGTAGTGAATAGAAAACGGGGCTGGTACAAGCACCCTTCAGAGGACAGAGTGTATATACCCAAAATGGTACCCCATGAAGGATAAGTTTCAGTTGTTTGAGTCTGAAATGTGATTCTTACTCGCTGTCGATGCTGAAGACCGGTCTCAATCGACATGCTTGTCGGGCGATAGAGGCTTTTGACTTTCTTTCATACGGTTTTGTTCAATAGCCAGATTGACAAAAATGTGTGCCAGACACTATTGGCTTTCCCACTGACCGGATAAGGATTCTGAGAGACAAAATGATGTGGGCTGAGCGAGGCTTGCCTTGCCTTGAAAAGTTTACTCACCCTGTTTGTCTGTAGACTCGCAAATACACGGTTCGAGTCCCGCCGAAAGTGCGAATGAGCTAATGAGGCGAGGTAGAGACTGCCATTCCATCTGGAGACAACTGAGGCCGTTTTAGATACAGAAGAAATTAAGATTTACGGAAAAAACCTAATCCTAGCTTTACTCTATCGGAGGCAGTCTCAGTGTCCGTCGAACGCCGGGGTTCGAACGCATGACATGTGAGCAAGTAACCATGCCGGTTGTCTTGCCAGTGAACACGACCCAACCGCTAGTTGGATATAGAACATCCCCTCCCTCATCCCCTCCTTCTCCTTCTCTTCATCATCTTCATCATCATCGTCATCATCATCATCATAAAGAAGAAGAAAATAGCATGTATGTGGGGATTCACAGCAAAAAATAAGACATTCTGCTATACCTCTACAATATTGGGCTCTTTATTCTCACCTCTTGTTTGTAATTCAGTCCAGATCACGTGAAATAACTCTCTTGTACTGTACCTCAGCCCTTTGGGATTGATGCAGACCCTTCTAATCGGCCCTGTAGGCGAAACATGTTCTTCCGGCTGCGTCTGAATGCGCAGTTGCCGCCCCGAAGCTCCGGTTGATGGGCAGCAGTCTGTCCCCACCTCTCCGGCAAATGCAGAATTAGAGTCTTGCAAAGCTCGCCGAGAAAGATGTGAACTGAGCGCTCAATGTCCTGCAGTTGGACTCAAGCGTACATGCAGTTCACTCCGGTCATGACCTCATTGTGCAGTCGTCAGAAGACAACACGCCTTAAATTGTGGGTTATGGCGCAACCAGAGAGAGCTAAACGCCAAAAGGTGAGACGAGAGTTGGGGCACAACCAGACCGCGGAAACACATTTAGGCCTGGGTACACTCGGCAACTGGCCGGCAGGGCCTTGCCTCCCTTCGTCTCGAAGTGTTCAAGCCGTGACTGTTGCACATCGTCTGATCACCTACTTTTGAGCCTAGGAATCACCAATGTCTGTTTGTGTGCACACGATGGGTAGTGCGAAGTAACGGCTGAAGCATACAAATTGACTGTTGACTTTTCTAACAGCAAAAAAGGCCCGGTGATGGAGAATGCAGGAGGGTCAACAGGCGACTGAAAGTTTCACTAAAACCTTAGTTCGACCGGGTTGCTTAGGCTGAATTAAGGGCTGATACTGTTCCGGTTTCCAACACAATGAATGGATCGTGCCTCAGGAAGACGGTGCATTTCACCCACAACTTGGTATCATGGCCGGCCAGGCCTCGCCCAAATCACACTTCGATTGAACGAGTCTGTATTCACCATTGCAAATGACGACAGTACTTGTTTAAATGTAGGCCTAATTCGAAGCGGTGGGGATTTTCGGATAAGATTTTACTTAATCTATATCGCTTTAGGCCACTTAAGGACTGATAGGAGAGGTTTTTTTCCTGATGATGCCATTGAAATGGATGAGCTACCTTAAATCAGCTTAAACGACCTTGGACGGCTGATTGAACATTCGAGAAAAATCCAAGAATCGCTGACAGTCTCAAAACATTCCCAACTGAATGCGAGTGAGCTGATAAATAACCATTTATCATTCGTTTATTAGCATAATATTACTTGCATTTCTGATAATGCATAATTAATATTTAATTGACTCTTTGGTCATGGTTCTAGTCACGGTCACTGTTTCTATAAATCAGAGTCTATACAAAAAAACCAGCAACCCTAACCAAGTGTGTGTCGAGCCTTAGGAAATCGGAGCTGGTCAGGATACATTTATAACGGAGGACAGATTTAACATCATTTTCTAGTTGCCAGGAGCCTTTGTGTACACATGTTCACTCATATGCAGACATACACGCACACACACAAGCATACCTAATCACATACTTCAACATGGGCATATGACGTGAAATATACATATCGCAAGAAGATGCATGAGGAGTGAGCACATATTCCGCATGTGAGGACAAGCTGGCGAGTCCCCGCAACTCATTAACATGAATCGGTTGCAAGAATGTCGGTCAATTTGGATAAAGTATGCAGATGACAGACAAAAGCTTATCTTCTCTCCACGGTGCAAAAATGAGGCTGCCATTGTAATTACGTCAGACAACAAATGTCAGCAAAGGTGAACGACATTAGGCCAAGGATAATTTGGCGTTGGCTTACGGTGAGATGGACCAGCTAATTTATCATCTCAAATTTTCCCTCAAACTGGAAATGATTAGAGCGTCGCAAAACACCCCCTTGTTGCTTCACATGACATCCCTCGTCAGGGCTGTACGTCATGCTTGCACTAGCATTGAGTCAATGCGCATTCAATCTGCAGACTTTAAGCTAATAACTGTTGGCCTGTAGGCAGGGTTAAAGAGCAAAATTGGGA